CACTCTGGGGTCAGTCCCACTCCTTTGCTATGTTCCTTTATTTATTTATTTATGATAGTCACACACACAGAGAGAGAGGCAGAGACACAGGCAGAGGGAGAAGCAGGCTCCATGCACCGGGAGCCCAACGTGGGATTCGATCCCGGGTCTCCAGGATCGCGCCCTGGGCCAAAGGCAGGTGCTAAACCGCTGCGCCACCCAGGGATCCCTTTTGCTGTGTTCCTAAGCCATGCTCCGGTTGCTGGGTCATAGCTGTGAGCACTACAGTCCAGATGAGCAGTAAATGTCTGGACCTTCGGCCGTGTTCAGGGAGCCCATCGAGATGAAGAGGGGAAGGAGTCCTTATCCCTGGTTTTGTCTATTAATTTGGCAAGGAGAGAGTAAGGAACAGAACTTACATAGGGATGGCCTTGAAACTTCACAGACCAAAGGAAATCCTTGGTAAGGCCTCCCTCAGACAGGCCTGGGAATCGGAAGGAGGGGGGTCATTGTTACATCTGCACTTTGCAGCCAGCGCAGGACTAGGATTACCCCGTTACCCCGGTGCTCAGCCCTCTCTGCCAATGCGTCCTCCGCAAAGGAGGGGGGTAGGGGAGCATTGGAGACTCCGCTCATGCTGCTTGCAGAGCGTCTTGGGATAAAAACCAGGAGGTAAGCTATGAGTTCCAGGAGAGGAGGGTGGATTCAGGAGTTGATGAAGCTCGTGCCATTCAAGATATGGAAAGGTCTCTAATATTATTCCCTTGTATCAAAACCAAACTTGATTCCGTCTGATCTGAGAAAAAGCCGGGCTGCAGTTCATTTTATTATTTATTATTATTTTTAAGATTTTTATTTGACAGAGTGAGAGAGCACAAGCAAGGGAGAGGGAGAAGCAGGCTTCTGCGGGGAGTCCGATGCGAGACTAGATTCCAGGACCTGGGATCATGCCCTGAGCCAAAGGCTCAATGGCTGAGCCACCCAGGCATCACCTCCTGCAGTTCATTTTAAATGTAATTTAGAAATAGTGGTTTTCCACAGCAAACAGCTATCTGGATTTAACCCCACCCTCCCTTACAAATTAAACAGTCCATTTAGAAGCAAAGTAACAATAATGATGATAGTAACAAAATTTAACCAACCCCCACCCTCCCTTTTTTATTTCTTTAGGAAATAATGCAGGTTCAAGGTCTAGGCTGAGCAGGGAATGTCTCCTTTCCTGGTCTGTTTCTGGACAGGTAGGGAGACAAAATTCCTTTCCTCTTCTGTGGCAGGGCTGGGCCCAGGTTGCACAGAGCTCCAGACAGAAATGTCCACCAAGGAGCAGGGAGGGACCTGGGGCTTCCATGGCTGTACCCTCCCTTGAATTCACTGAATGCTGAGCAATTGTTATTGTCAGGCACTGGGATAGGAAGGTACGGAAGGAAGGATCCCAGAGGGGCGCCAGTCGATAATACTCTTGCTCTCCTGGTCATGAGTTCAAGCCCCACATTGGGGGTAGAGCGTGCTCAAAAATTCTTTAAAAAAGGATTATGGAGACCCCCACACTGACCACTAACCATAATGGAACATAATAAATGCTATATTCGCAACAAGAATAAAGTGTTTTAGGTGCATAGAGAAAGAAGGAGAGTGGGACTGGCTACAGTGGTTCTGGGAGTGGTTCCCAGGCCACCAGCACCAGCCATACCTGGGAAATTAGAAATGCAAATGACAGGCTCTACCACAGACCCACTGGATTAGAAACTCTGGAGGTGGGGCCAAGTGATCAGATTTGAAGAAGCCCCCGGGTGATTGTTATGTAAATTATAGTCCTGGGATTAATACAGGACTTGGCAAACCACCTTGCACCAGCAGTTTATTTTTGCAAATAGAGTTTAACTGGGAATAGCCACAGTCCTTCATTTACATATCATCTGTGGCTATTTTCCTGCTGGCACATAGAGTTAAGTAGTTGTGACAGAGACAATAGTAGCCTGAAATATTTACAATATCCAGCCCTTTATAGAAAATGTTTGCTGCCTCCCAAGGAGTAGGGGTGAGGAGAGGTGGGTCCCCTGCTTGCCCAACCCCTCCCATGGCTGGTGCTGCTAGTGCCTCTGGCAGTCACACTTGAGGCAGCAGTGCGGGACTCAGCTCTAGTTTGGAGACTTCCTGAAAACTCTATAAACAAAGTCAATTCTATGTATCATAAATACGTATCGGTCAACACAATTAGGAAGGTGGTTTTTTTTTTTTTTTTTTTTTTTTTTTTTTTTTTTTAAGGAAGGTGGTTTTTTAAAAGTCAAATGAGCAAAAAGAAGTCTTCATTCCAGGAAGCCCCATGTTACTCCCTGCCTCTTTGGCCAAGCACTGTGCTTGATGCTTTAAGCATACCTTTCTGGATGGGTATCCTGTCCTCATTTTACAGATAAAGAAGTTGAAGCTCGGAAGATGAAGTAACCAGCCCAAGTTCACAGAGCTCAGCAGAGTAGAGCTTGGATCAAATCCTGGTTCAGCCTTGCTCCCATGTCAGGATCTTTGCCCCATGCTCACCAGCTGTTTTCCTAGAGGTAGGGCAATGCCTCCAGTTGACAATGGGACACTCCACAGGAATCTGTTAACATACTACATACACTTTTCATACTTTTTCTAGTAAAAGAGACAAATCAGCAGGCGTTGGAGAACCAAACCCAGGCCCACTTCTTGGGGGTGGGGTGTGTTCTGGGGAACAGGGGGAGGAGATGGAGGGCTTGCAAGAGCATAGGACCAGCTCCCCCACTGCAGAAGCCCAGTGGGGCAAGTGCTGCATCAGTGCCAGGTGTGATGCTGGCTTTCAGGCAGTGTGAACACCAGACGCCTCCCAGCCCCCTTCCCTTTCCTCAAGTACCATTACGGCAGGTGGCTGAGCCTCTGCTCAGCTCCTGGTTGTCAACGTGAAGGTATGTATAAGGGCGCCCCAGGGAAGAAGGACTTGGTCAGGTGAGTCTCGTGTCCATGCGAGAAGAAAAAAGAACCTACCAGGGTGTTTCCTGCTCTGATATAGGAATGGAATGGATGGGCTGGTCTATAGGTGCCAAGTTTGCAATTAGACTGAGGAAGTAGTTTCTGTGTGATATCCTTGCAAGGTTGATGCTAGAGACTAGAACAAAAGTAAAATCTTGTCCTGTGACCCCTTGAGCAACCTGGGAGCCTACACCATTGTCTGGGTAGCGAAAGCAGTGACCAAGGAAGTGACCCTCTTGTACACAATTACCTATTTTGGCTTCCACATATTTTTGTTAGATTAGGAAGACAACATTCTTGTGTGTGTGTGTGTGTGTGTGTGTGTGTGTGTGCGCGTGTGACAAAAACATTCTTAACAATAGAGCTTGGGATGTAAGGCAAAAGTTAAAACCTCAGAAAATAGCAAGTGGGTTTTTAAATTTATTTTAAAGGTTTTATTTATTTATTCATGAGACACACAGAGAAAGAGAGAGGCAGAGACACAGACAGAGGGAGAAGCAGGCTCCATGCAGGGAGCCTGACGTGGAACTCGATCCCCGGACTCCAGGATCACGCCCTGGGCTGAAGGCAGGCGCCAAACTGCTGAGCCACCCAGGTGTCCCTGTTTTTTGTTTTTAAAGATTTTATTTATTTATTCATGAGAGGCAGAGACATAGGCAGAAGGAGAAGCAAGCTCCTCGCGGGGATTCTGATCCGGGACTCGATTCCAGAACCCCAGGATCACAACCTGAGCCAAAGGCAGACCACTGAGCTAACCAGGCATCCTGATAGCAAGTGTTTTGAGGAGACTAATGATAAACTGCTCTTTTATCAAACTAATCAGTGGCCATGATCAGACATTTTTATTGTTAATATTTTTAAAATGATTTTATTTATTTGACAGAGTGCTCGCACATGTGCACGTGCTGGGGAAGGGGCAGAGGGAGAGAATCTCAAGCAGACTCCGCACTGATCAGAGAGGTGGAGGGGTGCTCGATCCCACAACCCTGAGATCACAACCTGAGCCAAAAATCAAGAGTCAGATGCTTAATTGACTGAGCCAGCCAGGTGCTCCTGATTTTTTATTATTTTAAACAAACTTCTTTGAAAAAATAAGCATCTCAGAGTGTCTTCTACATGCCAGCCTCCGTGCTAGTCTCTCTTAACCTAAGTCACCCAGCCTCACAACAACTCTGAGGGGTCCCTTTACAGATGGAGTGGCTGGGAAAAAAAAGATGGGGTGGCTGGGGCTCAGTCAGGGGAATGACACTGGACTGGGCCTCATTGACGGGGAGGGAGAGCTGAGTTTTGAACCAGGTCTTATGACTCTGTGTCTTCTATTCCTTTCACAGCATCACATTTACTTTGCACCAAACTCTGGATTTGGGAGGCACCTGGGTGGCTTAGTTGGTTAAGTGTCTGCCTTTAGCTCAGGTCATGATCTTAGGGTCCTGGGATCGAGCCCCACATTGGGCTCTGTGCTCAGGGAGAAGTGTGAGATTCTCTCTCTGCCCCTCCTCCCTTCACATTCTCTCTCTCTCTCAAATAGATAAATCTTTTTTAAAAAAAAATCAAGATACTGGGCAGCCTGGGTGGCTCAGCGGTTTGGTGCCGCCTTCAGCCAGGGGCCTGATCCTGGAGACCTGGATCGAGTCTCGCATCAGGCTCCCTGCGTGGAGCCTGCTTCTCCCTCTGCCTGTGTCTCTGCCTCTCTCTCTCTCTCTCTCTCTCTCTCTCTCTCTCCGTGTCTCCCATGAATAAATAAATAAAATCTTAAACAAAAAAAAAAATCAAGATACTAAAGTATATTTTAGGGTGGTGGTTCTTGGACCAGATGGAACCACACTCCCATCAATAACAGACCCTGGGCCTCTGGGTAGTCTGTAAAGCATGTACACTATGTGCAGGTTTCTGGGGCCAGCTGTGATGTCAACTTCTTTTTCCCTGTTGCAACTGTTGTTTTAGGGAGATCTTGCCTTGAAAAATCATTTCGTTTTGCATTTACATGATCCTTTTTTTTTTCTTCCAAATCTCAAAAAGCTTTATTGTGTTAACAGGCTTCATCCTCGGAGCAAGCTTGGGAGGAGAACAGGTGTTAGCTGTCAGCTTGATATATGAGGAAATTGAAGTAACTTTCCTAAAGTCTTCGGCTAATAAATGTTAAAGCAGAGCCTAAAACTGGAAGCCTCACCAAGATACCTGCAAACCCCTGAGAACAAGACTTGGAAGACTCAACAAGTGTAGGATGAGATCAGCCACCTACAAAGAAGCAGGGTTGGCTAAAAATGGGCGATCCAAATGTCTAAGAAAATGTAAGCCTCTACATTGCTTGTGGTTTCAGAAGAGCTGTCATCTGCCCACCCAGCATCTAAGAGAGGAGTCTAAAAAGAAGGGCTCTGGTGTAATTCCACAACAGGGACAGACCAACACCCTGGCTTTTTAGAAGACAGTGTCCTGTTTCGAGGAATTGGAAACAGCAGCTGAACGTAGCTTGACACAGTGGAGCCAGTAAGATTAGCCCAGTCATCCCCCTGGCCTGCGGAGGAACCTCCTGGTGTGGTTTGCCTTCCTGAGTAGCTTTTCTGTGAGCAGAGTCAGCTGGTCAAATGTCGCTGCTTGGCAGTCTTGTTCTTTTAAAGGGAGTGAGTTGACATCATGGGTGTGTACCATTCTCTCAGCATTTTCATTACATTCTTCCTGAGTTAGATTAAATCCGAAGCAAGGGACCTGAAGAACTGAGAACCGGGTTCTGAGTGATGTGACTTCGATAAGAGTCTTACCTAAATAACCAAACAACTGCCCATGCGTGGTAAGCCGTCACAGGAAGTGCAAAGCAGCTGCCAGCTAGGGAAGGCAGGGAATGCAATAAATATGGGGTCATGAAACGAGACCCCAGAAGGGGGTGGAGGAAAGTTAGAGTTAACTGAACCAAACTAGAAAAGTAGGTGGAACCTGGGACAGGCCAGGAGGGGCAGAAGGGAGCCCTTGCCCCCACCCCATACAGTGGAGACCCCAGTGCAGCAGGGGGGCCAACTGCACTGGCTTTGGAGAATCCGGGCCCCCTGCCTCTGAGCTGGCTGGGGACCTCATACCTCTTCTGCACTTTCTCCTCCTCATCTGTACGGTGGGCCTCCCTCAAGGTGGAAGGGATTAAATGTGATAATGAACATGCTCTCATTCTAGTGCCTGCCCTATAAATGCTCAATAAGTGCTTTTTGTCATAATCCCTATCCTTTGGGATTAGACATTAAACACAGACTCAAAACTGTTTAAACACACTACAGCATTAAGTACCCTGCTGCACCAGAACCTTGCTGCAATTGTGGTCTGCCTGTATGCTCTGCTCTATGGCTGGCACCGTTCTCACTAGCACCAGAGAGCCCAGAAACAAAGTTGGCCTGCAAGTTCTGGGCCCGGGGCATTTTCATTTACTGTTTCCTCTTCCTGGAAGGCTCTTGCCCTAGACAGTGACAGGGTTTGCACGTTCATTTCATTTAGGCATCTGCTCAGATGGCACATTATCAGAGAAAAGCTGTGCTTGACCTACCTCTCTATAGAAAGTAGCATCTCTACTGCCACCAGGGCCTAGTGCTCTATTCATGTTTCCTGCCTGCTTTCTCCCCACACACTCATTACCCTTGACATTCAATCACGAGTTTATTGTTTCTCCAAGTGGCATGCACATGAGAGCAAGCATTTGATTTGGGGCTGTGCTCTTCTTTTTAACATGCCCTCCTCACTTCCTTCTACTCAAAAGCCTAGAATGGTTGTCCCGTGAAAGAGGTAGGAGGCTCTTCTCATTCTATCACCTAAAGGCAGATACTTGCCAGTTCCATATTGTTATCATGTATACACAGAAGATAGGACACACTTCATGTGATGTAAAAATCTGTGGCCATGCCAGTTAGGTAGCTGATGGACAGCATTCCGAGGAGAAGGATGGTAAGTGCAAAGGCTCTGAGGTGGGAGCAGACAGCAAGGCTGGAGTAGAGGAGCTGGGGGCTGAAGTAGAAGTTAATTCCAAGGTTTCTGGTCTAGATGGTGAAAGAATAGAATTGATGTTTGCTAAAATGAGTCAGCTCGGGGGAAGAGCAGGTTTTGGGTATGTGAAGTTTTCAGATGCTTGCAGTTTGAAAGTATCTGCCACAAATCCAGTGGCATACCAAGTGCTTTACATACATTATGCCCATTGCACAGGTAGGAAAATTGAGGCACCAGAACTTGCATCTCAGAACATGTATATAGAAGGGCTAGGCTTTGAACCCTGGCTGTCCTCCAAAGGCCTGTCACTCTGAGAAGTGCTGGTCATTAAAGGAAGAGCTAAGAGAGGAGACTTGCCTCATTTTGGAAAAATCAATAATAATTTGGGTATGGTGAACTCACAAAGGTCTTTCTGGATCTGGAATGGTAACTTTATGGAAATTAAAAGGGAGCCTGATATCACAGGACTTTTGGGCCTGCAATCCCTTTGGCCTCAGCAAGGTTGCTGGCAAATCCATTTCCACGTCCATCAGGCCATCATCACATGATGCCAAAACAATGGAATGAAATGTGGAAAATCTGTTTGAGGTTATTATCCTGGGTTATACTCCAAGTTTTCATATTTTCTAAGATTTGCATACTTAGAAATCATTCACAAAAATTAGCATAAAACAGACAAACCTTTCAAGGCCTTGATACGCAGTATGGTCTGCAGACCAGCAGCAAGAGCATCACCTGGGAGCTGCCGGAAATGCAGAGCCTCAGGTTCCATTCCAGACTTTTCTTTTTTTTTTTTTTTTTTTTTAAGATTTTATTTATTTGAGAGACAGAGAGTGAACGAGAGGGAGCATGAGCGAGGTGAGGGACAGAGGGAGAAGCAGGCTCCCCATTGAGCAAGGATCCTGAAACCAGGCTCGATCCTGGGACTCTGGGATCATGACCTGAGCCAAAGGTAGATAGATGCTTAACCGACTAAACCACCCAGGGGCCCCCCATCCCAGACTTATTAAGTCAGAACCTGCATTTAGCAAGATGCCCAAGGGATACAGATGCTCATTACAATTTGAGAAGTCCTTGGCCCGGAGCCGACACGGACAAACTTTTTCTGTAAAAGACTAGATAGTAAATATTTCAGGTTTTACTGGCCTGTCACAATTATTGTTTTGTTTTTGTGGTGCAAAAGCAGCCACAGACATGTAAAGGATTAGTGTGGCTGTGTTCTAATGAAACTTTTATGGATGCCAAAATTAGAATTTTATGTAATTTTCATGTGTCATACTATTCTTTTTATTTTCTTTCAACTGTTTAAAAATGTAAAGCTCATTCTTAGCTCAGAGGCTGTACAAAAAGGCACTCATTTTCTGACTTGCCTTTTGGGGGCTGACCATGCCCAAGACTCCTGCCCCTCACTGGGTGATCCCCTTCTTTCCTCCCTACGGACATGGGGCTTGGGCTCCCATCCCCTCATGACCTATGTCAGAAGGTTGATGGCTTAAGCCTAATATAAAAAGCCATAGAAGAGGGGCGCCTGGCTGGCTCAATCAAGATCTGACTCTTGATCTTGGGGTCATGAGTTCGAGTCCCATGTTGGGTGTAGAAATTACAAAAATAATTATAAACTTTAAAGACACCTATTTTTGTTTTTAAAGCCAACAGAGGAACTGAGATTTTAAAAATATACTTTTGCTAGTTATCACAAATATGGGGGGGGGGAATCAGTAGCTAAGGGAGGGGGCTTGTGACATTTAAGTGCATTTGCTCTCTTCTGTTTTTTTTTTTTTTTTTAAAGACTTTATTTGGGATCCCTGGGTGGCGCAGCGGTTTGGTGCCTGCCTTTGGCCCAGGGCGCGATCCTGGAGACCCGGGATTGAATCCCACGTCGGGCTCCCGGTGCATGGAGCCTGCTTCTCTCTCTGCCTGTGTCTCTGCCTCTCTCTCTCTGTGTGTGACTATCATGAATAAATAAATAAAATCTTTAAAAAAAATAAGACTTTATTTCTTCAGGAGAGAGGCAGAGGGAGAAGCAGGTTCCACGTAGGGAGCCCAACGTGGGACTCGATCGGGGTCTCCAGGATCATGCCCTGGGCTGAGGGCAAGTGCTAAACCGCTAAGCCACCCAGGGATCCCCTCTTTTTCTCTTCTATTTGTCTATCTTGCATTTCAGCGGCTGGGAAGAAGGAACACACAATGCAGAGGAAAGACAATTATTAAAAAATAACTTTTGGGGAGGGAGTTGGAAGAGGAAATAAGAAAAGGGAGGTACTCTCCAGGAGAATAAGAAGATGGTTCCATGGTCAGTGGGCTGTGGGGGAGAATGGATGACTCGATAAATAAAGCAAATGGTGTCAAGGGCACTTGCTCAAGAGTTTGTGAAGCAAGCTAGGCGGGAGGAGGCTATGACAAACACAGAGACAGGAGACTGACTGGCAGAGTCGGATGAAGGCCAAGACCTGAATTTTAAAAATCTGTAGTGTATGTTTATGGCAACCAACCACTTTTCCATTTGGTAGGAATGGGGAGAAGGGGGGAAATAAGGTTGACTCAACACTTACTATAGGTCACGTCAGGCATGGTTGGAAGACATTTCCCATCATTTCAATTTTAATTAAAGCAAATCACGGAATTAGGTGTGCTGGCCAGTTTTTAGATAGAGAACCCCAGAGGTGAAGAAGCAGGATTGGAACCGAGTTTGGTCCGGTCACAAATACTTTAGTATTTCATAGTGTCCTGCCTACGGCAATGTCTAGTGGAAATACTGCCTTCATGAAATTCCTTATTTATTCTTATGATGAGAAACCCTCAATTCTCAGGGGTGAGAGAACAATATAAAGAGACTGGGCAGGTGACTTGTTTTTCTCTACTCCCCGCACCACCCTGCACCCCCCCCCCCCGACCCCGGCAACAAATGTAATGCTGTCATTAAAAAGACGTTAAGTCCTTTTTCTTTATTTTTTGGTCCTTTTCCTGTTATGAAACAAAACATCTAAAAAACTCAGTACACTAGCAGCCTGGTTTCCAAAGTTAAATTGTGTGCCCTTAAACCAATCTAATGGCAAACATGCATAAACCCTTTGCAGAAATGTGGAGTTTGGTGGCCATTTATTCAGGAATTACTCTATCAGGCATATATATATATATCTCTCATTTAATCCTCCCACAGTCCTGGGAGATGTTAACACCATTTTGTGGATAAAGAAACTGAGGCATGGAGAACTTAAGTATCTTGCTTAAGGCTACACAGCTGATAAGAGTCTAGAAGGATTAAAATCAAGGACCTTGCCTAGTAAGTTTGTCCTCTTAGCCACCACATTGCAGGCTCCTTTTAGAAAAGGTGCAATCACGCTAGGACTATCAACCTGCTCAGTATCATATGCCAGGATCTTTTTGTTGCAGCTGGTGGATATTGTGAAACATTCAAGGAGATGCTGGACAATCATTAGTGTGGTACAAGTCAAAAAGCCAAAGGTTAAACCAGTTTCTCCCGGTGTCTTCCTCAGAACGACACCTTTTCCATGACTACACTGAACCAACCAACCAACCAACCAACCCACCCACCCAAACTAGAGTGGTAGTTCCAAAATTAAATGGAAAAATACTGAAAAACTCCACCTCCCTCACTTCCGAGATTGCCATACGCATATTACACATTTTAGGCTCCAAGTAGTACTGAAATAATGGATTCCATTTAGTTTTAACCAACGGTTTCCCAAGGACCCAAGTACAATGTCTACTCTCTTTAAAGCCAATTAACCAATCAAGGTTTGCAGAATACATCTTGGGGAACACCAGAACCAGCCTGAGGCATGTCCAGCCAGCTCCACGGTCTTCTCTGTGACTATGGACATGAACCTGGAGGAGCTGTCATGCGTTCCCATGAAGACAGGAGCAGATGATCAACGTGCATGGCTTCTGACTGGATCCCTGTCTGAGCCTTCTACAGCTAATGGGAATTGGGCCTTTGCATGGGGCATGTCACCATTTGCCAGTCTGGGACAAGGGAGTCTGACAAAGTTGCCATGTGAGTACACACATTTTAAACAAGTTGATTCACGAACCCAAGGTTCAATCGCATTGTGAGAGGTACCATCTGACAAGATAATTTACTTTGAAATTACCCATCTTTCTCTGGGAAAGGGTAAGGTTCTTTTCCCTCGCTGTTGATATTTGATACCTTCATTTCTCCAATGCTTATAAATAGAAGCACCCAATCTTTGTGGTAAGCAAATTCATTAAATTCCTACAAGCAATTCCTAATAGGACCTGTGTTAAATCCAGAGTGGGGCTGTGAATAGATCTACACCAGTGTGAGTTCTTTGACACGCAGAGAAAAACACACCAGGAAAAGCGAAACTAAAAATATCACCTTTCCCTGTATTGCAATGATTATTCGAAATAATTACCTCATCAAATGGAATCCTAGCCTTTTCGACCTGGAAAGGCCTTTGTAAATCTAGTCCAAACCCTTCCTTCATAGATGAGGTTGGCAAAGCTTGAAAAGGGTGAGTGACAGGTCCATGCAGCTTGTCGGTGGAACAGCTGGACTGAACTCGGCTCTCTCTGTCCAGTACTCTTTCTCCTAAACTCGTTTCTCCCCATTTAAGACATTCCAGTGTTGTTTTAAGGAGTTGCTTTCTTGATCATTCACTATAATGCAAAAGCTTGCCTCATTTGCTGTTTGTGTGTGTGTGTGTGTGTGTTGGAGGGGAAGGCAAGTCCTACCTATATCATCTGCCCCTTGGTTCTCTGGCTAGCCCTCCACCTTGACCTCTCCTCCTACCCTCTGCCCCCAGCTGGCTCTCCCCCTCCCCTTCAAACATTGTTATCTTTGGCAATATGTATGTGCACTTTCCAACCTGGCTGGGATCTGGGGCAAGGTGACTCTTGGTTTAATGGATTTTTTTCCCACAGTGCCTGAATTGGTCCAAGGGTATGGAAGGTCAGACAAGGAACAAAAAGTAAACTGCCATCCTCAGCCCTTTCAGCAGGTCTGTGTTCTGTTAATACAACAAGAATTAAGAAAACAAAGGCAGAAACTCCACTTGGAAGTACTTGCCTACCCCCTGGAAAAGTTCAAGGCTGTTGTTCATTGTCTGAATTTTCCCCTTGTGATTCACTTGTATTCCTTAAATCATCCTCAGATGTCTGATCACGGAAGCGTCAGAGGAAAATACAAAGTTGAGTATTTGCGTTGAAGTCAGTGTCCTGGCTCCTCGGAGTCAGTGGAGAATGTGCTCCCCCCCCCCCGTCCCCCCTTGGGGCTGAGAGATCAGAGTGGGAGTCTCTTCTTCCCACGCTGGAGGCCCTCCAGGCTGCGGGGGCTACTGGGCACAAGAGCTCACCTCTTCCTAGTTCTCATTGCCCAGGAGACATTCTGTGTGGGCCAGGCCTGTGTTTTCTATGCTAGTCCTACCCGCAGGTCCCGCTAAGTACCCAGGAGGGCCGTGGTTTTTTTTTTTTTTGTTTGTTTGTTTGTTTTTTTTAATCAGAGGTTGCAATGGAACCTCCCCTTGGGTGCCCGGGGCGTCCCTTTGGGGTAGCGCCCCCCCTTCCGGAGGGCAGCATCCTGGCGGGGGTGGGGGCTCAGCTTTGATCCCTGGGCACCTTTTGTCCCTAGAGGCGCCCTCCGCCAGCCAGGTACGTGGAGGGAAAGTGCTGTCCGTTTTCCAGGGTTTGGGGAGCCGGACGGTCCCTTAGCAGAGCGGCGGGGCGTGCGAGAGGCCAACGCGGTGGGCACGGCGAACTCACTAGCTGGGCGTCTCCGAGGAAGTTCGGGCGGGGTCCGCCGGCTCCCGGGCT